GTCACGTTGTCACCCTCTTTTATATACCAGACTACCCTATATCTAGTAAATGCCAAGGTACAGGATAGTTCTAGAAACGTGGCGTGATACTAGTCATGTGACTTCGCTGACGCAACAATATATATATGCCAAATAATTTTCATATGAATTACTTATTAAGCTGAACAAAAAATACAAAATTTTAATTATTTAATATAATTGTTTTTGTGTGTTTTCAAAGATAAAACTGCACGACTTTGCTTCAATGGTTTTTATTTTTTTGCTGATTTTTTAATCTCAAAATAAAAAATAATAAATAAGTATTTTATTAATTCATTACGTATATATTTTAATAAACTATATCTCACAGGTGGCGCACAGTAAGAATGGATAGGTGATAATTGATCAGCGGTGAGATGTAAACACTGAGACTAAATTTATCATCGTCTTGAGGGGCTGTCAAGACAAGAGAGTATTAATTGACCAAAGGGCATATGACCATAGAGGGAAGTAACATGGGGTAAGTTTTGCTTAATCGTTCTTCGTCTAAATTAAAATTATCAGTATTACTGTTGTTTTTATTTCACTAGCACTGGGCAGGTGTTATTACTACTACTAGTAATTACTAATAGTAATACTGAGTAATAGTGTATTAGTAATACTGTCTGTAAGTATAATATTAATAATTAATATGCTGTCTACAGACTCACTGTCGAAATTCGAGTCTTATCTTTGACTTGTAGTGATACTGAGTTAATAAGTCTCAAAAATCTTATTATCATTTGTTGTGGAAAAATAACCAGTTATTATAAGCACTAAATAATAATATTACATCTGAATGTACATTGCTTTGGAAAGATTTTTTTTTAAATCTTGTTTATTTTCGATTTGCCTTAGCACCCAAGTCTTGAAGTATAAAATATTTTAATAGTAATACCTTTAGAACTTAAAAGCAAGTTAGGATATTTGGATTGTTACTACTACTACTACTACTACTGCTGCTGCTGGCTGCCGAATAAAGGATAGTGCTTAAATAGTTTGAAGCATAAAAACTTAAATTAGTTGTGTTTATGAAAAGTATAGAAAGAATACAGTTAATCCTACAACTCTACAGAAAAAAGAACACACACACACACATATACATTTTGGACTCCATATCACCATAAAAATTGGAAAATATAAACAAAACATACAGAATAGAGTTATTAAATGTGCTTTATCAGCTTGAATTTAAAGCAGAGCTACATTTTCCCCAAAACTTAAAGCTGTGAAAGCTTAGAATTAGTTAAATGCTTTGTATAAAGCTAAAATGCCAACAATCTTAGTTAGATTTAATTTTAAGGTATGTTGGAGATGAACAAAACATGTTTTGGCTCATCTTAAAATGAGCCAGTTGTATTTTAAGTTTACTTTCTGCATAATACATTTGGAAAGACTTCTGAAGGATGATCAAAGAATATACATTAAATGATGATACTAAAAATATAATGCTTAAAACATACAAAGTAACAGAAGGCTATTCAATCTGTCAAAATCACATAGTATAAAACTTATAATACTTTTGGATCAAGTTTTATGCACAAAAGTATAAGAATTAAAAAATTAAAGCTAACTGTCCTTTGTTCTTGAAAGTTCTCATTCATATAAGAAAAATTAAATAAAAATGAACCATTATGTTGATTTTTAAAAGTTCTTTTATGTTGTGGCTCAGAATATAATAATAGTAAATGTTTTAAAGCTTCAAGCTATCATTTTGATGAATATATTAATTAGTTTAATGTTTTAGTCTCAAAAATGCAGAGCATGATAATAATTGATACAATTCTCTGAGTAAAAAATACTAGTTAGATTGTGCAGAAATTAGTTTAAGGATCTTTGGCAAGCATATTATTTGTCTGTAGGGTTTTATTTTTTTTATCTTTTAATGTAATAAATATATGGATGTGAAGAAGGTCTTCTTATGTTGGAAAAATGTTGTAGAGAAAGAGAATGAATCAAGATTGTTATTTATGAAGCCTTGAAGCCTTTTGCAGATTACTTATCAGTAGTAAAAAGAAATTAAAGAGAATACTTGAATCTTTATATTGAAATTTGAATTCAAGTTTAAAGTAAATATTATTGCTTTGATAAAATCTGTAGGTACAAAGAAGTATATGAAAATTGATAAATAATTATATAGTCAATGTTTCAACTGAAATGCATAATTTATTTTTAATTCAGATATTTTAAACACATCTTTTTTAATTTGATCATGCCCCACTGCATCCATTTGTTATTTGAGAAATCTGTTATGTTACACTTGGACAATTGTTTGGTTATTTGACCATTACAGGGATTTGAACCATTTCTTTATATTTACAGACCTTATCATGCAGTACCCTCACTTGTTTGTTTCATAAAATATAGTATATCACATTTAGACTATTGTGTTAAGTGTTGGAAAAGGTGCTGAAAGGACAACTAAAATAATATCTGGTAGGATAGATTTTATTTATTATGATAGGCTTATTGCCTGTGAATTGTATGTATAGAAGTAGAAGTAATTGGATTTAGGTATCCAAGATCTGTAGGGATTTGAATAGATTGTATAGGAATAATTTTTTTTAATTTTTAATTGGTAAGATTGGATATCAGAAGAAGTAATTTCAGTTTGACACTCTATGGTAGATGCAGGCTCATTATATGGAGCCCTACACCTCTCAGAATTTAATTTTTAGTACTGAAAGTTTTAATTTTTATCATTTACATCTGAATCTAAATTGTTTTGTCAACTTCAGGTCCAAGTAGTTAAATGTAGCTTTAGCACCATGTAAAGATAGCTGACAGTGTTGTGTTTAGTTACCTGTAGACTCTGCAGTTGTGGTGGTGGTGGAGGCTATAGAGACTAAGGGAGCTGTATGCTACATATGCAAAATATTTTTAATTTTTTGCATAAGCAAGAAAATATGATATATATATATATATATATATATATATATATATACACACACACATGGATCTTTATATTCTGTTTTTTTATTTTGTTTATTTCCAAAATCATTACAGTTGTTGTCTCTTTTTCCTTGCAATGTTTTTTTTTAATTCTGTAATAAACTTCTGCTGTAAAAAGAACACCAGTAGAACATGATTCTGTATTTATACACCCTTCTACACAGGGGGTGGCAAGGGTTGGCACTTGTCCCCCTCTGCTGGAAAATGAGAAACATAATTCTTTCTTTATTCATTCAGCATATGTATATGAATTTTCATGTTTTTTATTCACTTCACAATTTCACATTACTTATTACATTTAATTTTCAATACTAATAAAATTTGCCAGGTTTGTCAGCAGGCTTTACTTGAAATCTCTAGATACCTACCCTGTAGCTAAATATTGAAAAATGTCACGACCATGGTAGCTTCATGTTAATTGGGCATGGCAATTGTCTCTCAGTTCATCATAGAGACCGACATGGTCTTTCCGACATCTCCTTAGCCCTGACACAGCGTGATCATGGTCAGTCTGTTGCCACCTGTCAGTAATACCAGCAGCAGGTCATCAAAGGGTTCGATGCAGTCAAAATTACTCTGCATTTTGGGCAGTCAACATTTGAAAAGAAAAAATGCACTAGCAAATAAGTAGTTAAAAAATCATAAAACTTGATACAAAAATCTGATATTTTGTATACAAAAGTCTTGTAATGTTAAAAACTTTGAGAAAAAGCATACTGTATTAAAAGTGATAGTGTTCTATTGATTTTGGTGGAAATAACTTTGAAAGCAGGTCCATCATCCCTTAATTTTCACCCCTCCCCAGGAGGGGGGGATTTTTGTGGGAGGGCCACAAAGCTATTACACATGGCATTGATAGCTGATGCATTTTAAAGTACAACTTTGGTGAAAAAAGTGCAAAATGCAGGTTGAAAACATGTCTTGTTAGTATTTACAACAACTTGTAATTTTGCTTGACCTATTATGAATGCATAAAACTTCAAATTATCCTTATTTGCTTTGTGATATGTTCATTTTGTGACATGTAATGTCTAATGTATACAGGTTGTTTTTACATTAAAAAGCTCTACGGCTATTCCATTAGTTATTGGGCTATTTATGTTAATATGCATATGCTTATATAAAAGGATAAACACTATGATAAAATAAAAAGCATGATGACATCACATACTTCAAACCAGTTATACCAATAAAATAATAATGTATGAGACTTGACAAAATGTTTGCTAGACTACAGCTGTATTTTTCAAGTTACGTTGTCCATTATAGATTTCAAATCAGATGTGTGTAAAAATAGCATTCAGAGCTATCTTTTGTTTGTTACAGATCACTGCATTTTTTTGAGTACTAGAACTCTTTAGCTGGGCTGTATTATATTCTTTATGGTGTTAAATGTAAAAAACTGGAACAATTTGACTTATATCACAATCACTAGATCTGCTGGTTCTACTGCTTAGCAAGTAAAGTTCTTGAAACGAAGTCTAACAAGAATCTTGAACTTAGTGAAAGTTTACCTTCGTACTATAACTCAGTAGATTGTAGAGTGACATAAGAAAGAGCAAGATGATAAAAGTATTTGATCTGTTGAGGTTATCCTATCTCCCACCAAAATATCAAAAACAAATTAAATATAACCATTCACTTCTACATCCCTGTAATAAGTAAAAGTGACTGCTTATAACCTCAAAATCAAGCAAATCATTCCACAAATTTTAAACTCTAATCATAAAATAATTTAATTGAAGAACAGGGCTGTAATAGGCTTCCAAAACCTAAACCCCTTAACATGATATTCAAGTCAAATATTTCAAAACTTTTCATACCATCACTCAAGTAAACCACCTATACAGAAAACCTTACAAACTCTTGAATCAACTTGCTTCTAATCCTTTTACAATATAGAGAAAACAAGTTCACACTTTGTTTGTTAATATAGTTTAAACTTCTTAAACCAGGTGTCATTTTAGTAGTCTATACTCATTACTATATATATATTGAGATCTCCAGGTTTTTTTTTTTTTTACAAAGTTACAATAACCTTTTTGTTTTTATATTAAAAATCCCTATAAATACATGTAGAACCAAAATATGTTTTTATCTTTTCACCATACCTAATATTTAGAAGAGGACTTTAGGGCATTATCAACAATCAAATCTAAATCTTTTTTCCGTGTGTGCCAGTACTCCTGTCACACACAAAGTAAGTTCTTTATGTATATACATATAACTTAAGGACAACAAGGAACCTTTATCTGTGCTTTTCCATATATTAAACTAAACTTTAAAATAAGATAATCAGAAACAGTCCTTTACATTCAAATATTTATTGAGCCTTCATTAAACTCCCTTAAATTAACTGCATCCATCACATCTGATGGCAATCCATTCTAAAGGTTAACTGCCCTGTTAGAAAAATATAGCTGCCTTAGCTGAAGATTATTCCTACTGTGCCAAAATATATATTTGTGTCCCCTAGTTCTAACAAGTATGAAAAAAATGATGTATCAACACTATCAATTCTTTTCACAA